CTAAATTCTTATCAAACACATGGATTGAAATAATATTCTCAAGAATAATAATCCTAGAAATATCATTTCAAAGAATAAAATTTTTAACCATGAAACAAACACACCCATACAATTAAAGAAAATAAAAATCAATTATTACAACTATATCAATCCTAAAAAAATATTTTTCCTGTTTTTCAGCTATTTTTTTTATAAATTATGTGTTTAATATTTTTTCTAAATAATAATTTTTTTTAAAAACTTATACAATTATCTTGTAGTCTATTTTTTCTCAATAATATTTTGATATTTTCTAATTTATTTGAATTCTTACGACAAATTGATGATATATTCTCAATCCACCTCAACACTCGTACGAACATACGGATAACACACAAGTACCGTGTGAACGCATAGATAACACATCAATAACATGTGAACACACGAGTAACCATTTCAAAATCATTGCAAATACACTAGTTATTATATTTTTTAAATAAATTATAAAATTTATTGATAAAATAATTTTATTTTTCTGATTTACATTTTTATTATATTTTAAAATAATTAATAATTAATTAAATTACATTTATATACGGAAGACAATATTAAAACCATTTTATTTTTTCTTTTAAAAATATTTAACTATTTTTATTAGTAAATTTTGTTATTTTTTATCTTATTTTTTCATTATTTTATTATTATTATCTTTTTATAATTAAATTTAAATATTTTTATTTTATTTGAATTTCAAAACTAAACTAATAACATATTCGCGTACACAAAAATAATTTTAGAGACGCATGGAGTTTCTGGTGGTTGATCTTATAAATGGATATCACTAAAACTACATTTGTCAACCGTTTTAAAAACTAGAAGTGAAATACAAACTTTGTTGACCCGAAAACCATAAATGAAAAACTGTTTCAATGAACCTTAGTAGCAGCAGTGGCAAACTTAGCCGCAACACACTAATTTCCCTCATCAACAAATCTTCCACCTTCCCTCACCTCGCTCAAACCCACGCTCAACTCATTCTCAATGGCTACCGTTTCGACATTTCCACCATCACCAAACTCACCCAAAAACTCTTCCACTTCGGCCACACGCGCCACGCACGCGCCCTCTTCTTCACCGTTCCCAAACCCGACATCTTCCTCTTCAACGTTCTCGTCCGTGGCTTCTCCCTCAATGACTCCCCATCTTCTTCCATTTCTCTCTACACCCATTTGCGCCGCAACACTGATCTCAATCCTGATAACTTCACTTACGCCTTCGCGGTTGCCGCTTGCTCTAACGAGAATCTCTTGATGTTGTTGCATGCTCATTCTATTATTGATGGGTATGGTGATAATGTTTTTGTTGGGTCTGCTCTTGTTGACTTGTACTGCAAGTTTTCGAGAGTTGGGTTTGCGAGGAAGGTGTTTGATGGAATGCCTGAGAGGGATACGGTTTTGTGGAACACTATGATTAATGGGTTGGTTAAAAATTGTTGTTTTGAGGATTCTATTCAGGTATTTAAGGAAATGGTTACGCGGGGTGTAAAGATGGATTCGTCGACTGTGACTGCTGTGCTTCCTGCTGCTGCTGAGTTGCAAGAGATGAGAGGTGGGATGGGGATTCAGTGCTTGGCTCTGAAGTTTGGGTTTCATTTTTATGATTATGTGTTGACTGGTTTGATGTCGTTGTATTCTAAATGTGGGGATGTGAAAACGGCGAGCTTGTTGTTTGGGATGATTGGTAAGCGGGATTTGATTGCTTTTAATGCTATGATTTCTGGGTTTACTTCGAATGGTGAGACTGAATGTTCTGTGAGGCTTTTCAGAGAGCTTCTTGTTTCTGGTGAGAAAGTTAGTTCGAGCACAATAGTTGGATTGATTCCACTGCATTCTCCCTTTGGTCATCTACATTTGGCTTGCTCTATTCATGGTTTTTGTGTGAAGTCTGGTATTATTTTGAACCCGACTGTTTCAACTGCATTTACTGCTATATACAATAAACTCAATGAAATAGATTTGGCTCGCCGGCTGTTTGATGAATCCACGGAGAAAACTGTTGTTGCTTGGAATGCTATGATTTCGGGTTACACGCAGAATGGTTTGACAGAGACGGCTATCTCTCTTTTTCAGGAAATGATGAAGACTGAATTCACTCCAAATGCAGTTACCATCACAACTATCCTTTCAGCTTGTGCTCAACTAGGATCTCTAAGTTTTGGGAAATGGGTCCATCAGTTAATTAAAAGCAAAAATATAGAGCCAAACATTTATGTCTCTACTGCTCTAATTGACATGTACGCCAAGTGTGGCAACATTTTGGAGGCTTGGCAGTTATTTGATTCGATGAGTGAAAAAAATACTGTTACTTGGAATACTATTATTTTTGGTTATGGGCTCCATGGATATGGACACGAAGCACTTGAACTTTTCAATGAGATGTTACATTTGGGGTTTAATCCATCTTCTGTCACTTTTCTTTCAGTATTGTATGCTTGCAGTCATGCTGGCTTAGTTGAAGAAGGAGAGGAAGTTTTTCATAGTATGGTCAATAAATACAGGATTGAGCCCTTAACCGAGCACTATGCATGCATGGTGGACATTCTGGGACGATCTGGACAGTTAGAAAAAGCTTTGGGTTTTATAAAGGAATTGCCAGTTGAACCAGGTCCTGCTGTCTGGGGTACATTGCTTGGTGCTTGCATGATTCACAAAGACACGAACATAGCTCGTTTGGCTTCAGAAAGGCTATTTGAACTCGATCCAGAGAGCGTAGGATACTATGTCTTACTTTCCAACATATACTCTACGGAGAGAAACTTCCCAAAGGCTGCTTCAATAAGACAAGTAGTTAAGAAAAGAAAACTGGCAAAGAGTCCAGGGTGCACTCTAATTGAGGTTAATGGGACCCCCCATGTCTTTGTATCTGGTGACCGTTCTCATTCTCATGCAACAGATATTTATGCAAAGCTGGAGAAGTTAACAGGAAAGATGAGAGAGATGGGGTATCAGTCAGAAACAGCCCCTGCTTTGCATGATGTGGAAGAAGAGGAAAAAGAGCTTGCCTTTAATGTTCATAGTGAGAAGTTAGCCATAGCTTTTGGCCTTATTACCACTGAACCCGGTACCGAGATCAGGATCATCAAGAATCTTCGGGTTTGTTTAGATTGCCACACTGCAACTAAGTTTATATCGAAGATCACAGAAAGATTGATTGTAGTTAGGGATGCTAACAGATTCCACCATTTCAAAGATGGGAAATGTTCTTGTGGCGATTATTGGTGAAACTGAGATAATTTATTTTCACCAGTTTAAGTTATATGGGGCAGAAGCATTATCGAACCTTTTGCTCTCATATTATTTATCCTACATTAATTTAATCTGGAATCTGAACCCTCATGTGACCCTCAACTTGAGAAGCACAACATTTCACAGCAATGGTTGAGTAAAGGAAGTTTTATCTATGGTTGACCTCATTGTGTCCATGGATGATTACAAGCTTGGAGTTGCATTTGCAACTAAATTTATGTTCAAGCTGGGACAGGGTAGAGTTGTGCGTTGAAACAAGTACCATAATTGCAGAAACATCTTTCAGAAAGGGGCATTTTTGTACACAGCAACTGAGGAAACTGAATCTTTTTTTTTCCTGATATACTTGACGATACAAACACATTTATTACTTTTTGTACTCAATCAGATTTCTGATCCATCTTGCTGCCAAGTATGAATCTATCATTTTAAGGATACTGAGATAGTGTCTTGATGATTTCTCTGCGTTCTTGATTCTTAGCTTTAAACAATGAAGAGAAAATGTTTAAATTCATTTTCGTTCCCCTATTATCGTTGATTCACAATTTTAGTCCCCACATTTTAAACCAAAAAATATAGTTTCTCAATTTTTAAGGTTTCAGAAATTTTCACCACCACCGAACTTGAGACGCATTTTAATTTAAGTATCAAATTGAATAATGGTCTGATAAAAATAGAAAAAAAAATTAAACCTTAAAAAATCAGATTTCCCAAAATATAAGCCTTGTCACTCATCATTCTGTGGTGTGGAAATTTTGAGAAATTTGGTAACAGAAGGACTATATTTCTATTTTCACTCTAAAAGGCAGAATATATCCTGGCACATGAGGAAACAAAAGAAAGTTAATTTATTACTTCACTTGTAAAAGACCCCTTTCTATTTTCTTTTTCTTTGTATTTACAGGGACAACAAATCCAGATTCATAAATTATTGGAATCTCGAAGACACTTCACTTCGTTTAGGACCAAAAACCCAGACCATTGGCTATCAATAAATTAGTCAAGTAAGTTCTATTTCCTGCCCAGTTTCTTAGTCCAGGTTTAAGGGATCATTCACTGTTATATATCCTTACTTTGTACTTATTCTTGGCAATCTACTACTACTAGTGCATAACTTGTAAAGATTGTAGACGAAGAAACAGAAATCCTAGAAAATTCGTAGTTCTTGGAATGTCTAGGGAGAGTAAGCTTAGGCAAATCATCAAAGGGGGGCATTGCTAGATTTAATTCGAAATGCTACATCCACAAATATGGCAATGTATATTTACTTTACCAATTTAACTCATGATACAACCAACTTGATTCTTTCATGATTGTGAAGAACTAATTGAATGAAGATTCTGTTTCTTTTCATGTTTGTTGCAATTTCTTCATTGTGCAATTTATAGACATGACTTGAATAAGAGATAATGATCTCGATACATGTGATAGAACATTATCGATACATACAATTTTGCATCAATGTATAGGTAAACATTTACCATTGATTTACTTGTCAATCCTTGTTATTTCAACCAAAACACATGATAACCACTATGTTATCAACTACATTTACAAAAATGTGAAAACTGAATTTGCACTTCCTAATAATAATCCACTCTTTGCTCATTCATTCTTGTGCGTCTTTTCTTTCTTGATTCACACATCATAAAGCTCAATCAGGAATTTGCATAAAGACGTTCACCAAAGAATACTGTAGGAAAACAAACCAGTTTTTTAACAGTTGATTCCACATAGCTTGGTATCAGGTCCCTTAGTTTTGAGCACGAACGGGTCAATTCTTACCCATAGCAAGGAGAAAATGGAAGCCAACAACACTGACCATATCACAACAATGGTGGGTGTGCGGTTTTGCCGACCCATCAAACCTTTAAGGAATGGATACAGATGGACAATCACCCAGAAGGAAAAGAAGAGTTTTCCGAATAGAGGTCCCCATGATTGATATCCATTGTTTATGGCATCTGAGATTCCAGCAACAACCCCAACAATATTGATTATTAAGATAGTGGTTGGAGGAATTAGGAGAGTAGTCCACTTAATGGCGTATAATTCTCCAAAGTCCTCATCATCTGTTGCCTTGGCTGTAACAGTGAAGTTGGTGTCAATTCCAGCAAGAACCTTTAGAAGACCTTGTATGACAGCAAAGAGATGTGCTGATACACCACCGATGACCCAGAACTGCTCATTTCTCCACCATTCCTCAATGCTGACACCACTCCATTTTAACTCAAGAATGCCCGTTGCCATGATTGAAGTGAAGAGAGCAACAAAGTACAAACTAGCAAAAGTGCTTATCTGGAGAATGAGTAATCAAAAATCATTTTTACGAGTATAAAAGCTTGGTATAACTCCTACATACACAAGAAGATCACTAACATTCTTGTGCTTTTGAAGGTAAAATTATGAAATGTTGTAATGTTAGTTATAAAACTTATAATTTTGAAAGCTCATCGTGTCTTAACTTATTTCTTAACAGGAAGATAATAGAATAAAAATGTTACCGGTGGCATGATGAATTTGTCAGTGAGTAAGCAGACAGCAGGAAGAATACAGTAGGCAACTAGAGGTATGGAGGTGAAGGGGTAGATAGTTGTGTTTGCATAGGCAAATCGCTCAAGCCACTTCAGGTTCCCTTCCTTGTGGCCATACCATAAGGGGCAATGATGACTGAAGAAGATCTCAATGGAGCCAAGGGCCCAACGAAGCACCTGGTTGAGCCTATCTGACAAGTTGATGGGAGCAGTACCCTTGAATGCTACTCTCTTTGGCATACAGTAAATGGATCTCCAACCACGGCAATGCATCTTAAAGCCTGTTAGAATATCCTCTGTAATAGATCCATAAATCCAACCAAGCTGCAATTTGGAAAACAAGATATCGAATGAGCTGATTTTCTTATTACAAACAATTATAGTGAAATATCAACAGTCCCTATGCTGCCAAGTGCCAATGTTAGTGTTGTTACCTGAAGCCCCCATTCAGTTTTATCTTCATATCCGCAACTGATTACATGAATGGCTTCTTTAAGCTGGCTTGCTGGACTTGAGGAAGGAGGTACACCACCCTCTTCCATCAAGGTTGAAGTCACGAAAATTGATGACTGCCCAAATGTCTTCTCAAAATTCATCTGGGACATCAGTAATTCTTTGTCATCATCCATTCCTATACAAACATGTGACAGTGATTAGAACAGGTGAACTTAAAATCAATTTGTACAAGGAGTTAGTGTCAAGATTGATGATTTGGAAAATTAGGACCTCTTAGGCTTGTAGCCTCTCCATTTGCATCGGTCATTGCATGCTTAACCTTCTTGCGCCTTCCAAAACATGGGCAGCAATCACAACTGACCATTTTGGGACGCTTGGGACCCTTGGGAGGATTATATCCATATAAAGCTTGTCTTCTAAATACACACCCTGTGCCGACATATACAGGACCCTGAATACCATCTAGACCCTTCATATTAATCTGCCAGAACAGAAAGAAGAGGAATTAGTAATATATATTAGCTTGCACATGTCATGCTGATGTTGGCTTTCTTGCAATGACTTACATCAAAGAAAACTGTGTTCCTATTAGCATATCGATCATTTGTATCAATGCCGTCAAATCTTTGAGGAAACTGGACATAGCAGACCTTCTTCCCTGTTTGTGGGTCCATTAAGAAGCACATGGCCTCTCGGACAGCCTTGCTGTTATTGATATAATGATCACAATCCAAGTTCAGCATGAAAGGAGCATTTGTAAGTACAGCAGAGACTCGGACCTGGAAATTACATAAATTATTAGAGGAGTCAAGTAAGTATGATTTGAATGGACGTCATAAGAGTAACAATAGCTATTCAAGTCACTCTACCAGAGCATTCATGGCACCGGCTTTCTTGTGGTGTTGAAATCCAGGCCTTTTCTCTCTGGATACATAAACAAGGCGAGGAAGCTGGTTTCCTTCAGTATCATGACCTCCGCTGTGACCAAGAAAGACTTGAATCATACCAGGATGATCTTTAGTATTGTTTCCTGGCCATGGTGTTCCATCCTGCATAATCCATCCTCCTGCTGGAACCTTTTGGGCTTTTGCCACAAGCGCGTTGATCCTAACCTTAAACTCTTCATATTCTCTCTGTCATGCATTCAATTAACAGTGAGTAAGAATTAAACTGTTATCAGAACTCCGTGTTTTTTCTAACAATTCTAGTAGATTAATACAAACCTTCATGGATCGACGTTCTTTGACAAAAGTAGGCTGCACTTTGTCCTTTAGATAGTCAATTTTCTCAGAAAAGTACATCTCTGGTGCGCGGGGTTCTATCAAAAATTTCTTACAGAACGGCACCCACTTCCTAGCAAACTCCGCAGTTTCTGACAAGGCTTCAAATGTACACATTGAAGCTCCATCATCAGAAATGTAGCATGATATCTTATCAATGGGGTAGTCCATTGCCAAAATCGAAAGAACTGTGTTTGCCGTATTCAGAGGAGGTTCCTTCAAGGGATCCACAGTACTGACAAAGACATCGACCGGCGCAAGCATGTTTGGTTCACCTTCACGCTCGTACCTGATAAACAACTTTCTTGTTCAGCAATATAAAATGATTTTAAACACCAGGATCTCAATAATCAGGAATGAAGGTCCCTTTACCTGATTGAAAGACGGTCGAGGTAGGTTTCTCTATCAATAGGATACCATTTGGGGAACTGATCTAGGATCCATGAAAAAGCAAACCAGATTTCACATATAATGGAAGTTAGCCATAGTCCCATTGCATCATGAACTGGGTTCATAAGTCTGTATCGGAGGAAGAAGGCAAGAATAACAAGACGTGCCACGATCACCATCCTATATGGATTGATTTTGCTCGATGCTATCGGTACCTTCCTTGACAGTGGCTGTCTTGCTTCATCCGACCTGCATCAGTTCACATTGTACAGTAACTAACTTAAATATCGATTATGACTTTCAATATTACTATCATTTCATTTCATTAAAAGTTAATTTTCAGGAACTGCATTCATTGAGTACTGAAAAACATACATGGCTCCATCTAGTTCTTCATCAGGTTCAGGTCCCAAATTTCCTTGCTGTAATTTCCAGTCATCCACTCTATCATATGATCCATCTTCTCTCTTTTCATCCCATCCCGCACCTCCTGTTTTTATCACAGCATGCAACAAATATTAAACATTTTCCACCATGTTGCAAATTAACCAAACTATAAACTATATCTTACGAGGATCAGATGCGGAATATGGATGAACTCGTTTATGCAGCGTAGAAGATAACATCTGCTCTCCATAACCATGAGATGAAATTGGGAACTCACCACTCACCTGCATGCATGTAACAAGCAAATTAGTTTTATTGAATTACAAATTTTGCTGAATCTATAAGATGGATCAAAAAATGGTGCAAATCTTACAGGTCGAGAGCGACCGCCAGCAATAACAGCTGGGAAATGCGCATTCTCGTCATCTTCAGGTCCTCTGCCATAGCTCATCTTCCCATGCAGCATGGCCTCAGCAGAATGATCATGATTGTTCATTTTCTCTTCAATGTTGAATTCATGTTCAATATCGTCCACATCTTCCTCGTCATCGTCTCCCTCAACCCGAGGGCTCCCTTAACATGATTAATCATTTGTTCAAGTTAATCAACCGATTTAATACCGCAACTATCCAAAACTATATCATGTAGAGTACACTTCAATATATAATTCTACCTTTGAGACGCTTGTATCTGGTCTTGCACTGAGGACAGAGCTGTCTCCCCTCCCTTCTTTCATATTCATAGCACGGCCGACACACCGGAAAACCGCACTCATTGCATGCCACAAACAAGTCTCCATCCACAGTGAGTCCAACATCATCACCACATATCTCACACACTTGACCATCCAAGTTCTTCAAAGGTTTATGCTGCATAACACAACAAAAGCTGTTACATGAAAACAAACTAACAAAGCAAACAAACATCTCTAGTTAGTTATTGTTACCTCTTCATGGCCATGAATGACAACAAGCTCGTTACGATTATGCGAACCAGCGACTAATCCGGCGCTGGCTTCCATATTTCGGTGGTGGTGAGAGATGAAAAATGGAACAATGTGTGATGAATGTTGAGAACAAGTTAGTGTTTTATGTATGAAAAATGTGATGGTATGAAAGAAGGTTTAGGTGTGTTGACACCTAATATGTCCACATAAGTGTTGGTTGCAGGGTCCCCATTGCCTTGAAGCTAAGCTTTCTTCCTTTTTATTCAACCACCATCTCCTTCAATGCAACAATCACTTATTTTTCTTTTTTTAGTTTCTTCTACTAATTTTTCCATCTTTCAAAATTGTATACCCTAGGACCAAAAAGAGACAAAGTTGGTTTTTGAATATTATTTCATTTTCGTAGTTATTTTATCGGTTGTTCATACATCAAAATATTAATATTGCAAGCAAACGAAACAAGTAAGCAATGGAGTGTCAGAGTGCCAAACTAACGCATTCATTACATGACTGTTGACGTGAAAGGGAATAATTTTCATACGAGATATGTATAAAAATTACCTTTGAAAAAACCATAAACTAAAAAAGTACTATAAATTTCATAAAAACTATTTGAACATTATTTTGAAGTTTTTATATCACCATATAGGACGTGCTCTTTATATATTAAAAAGACTACTAATTTTTCCAAAAAAGAATAACACTATAAATATTGTGTAATAAAAAACAAAACAAAAATATCTAACAGATTTGTTGATTTTGAATAATATGAAACAAAAATCAATGTTGGAACTAATTAATACTCTTTCCGTTTGCTATTACATGTGAAAAAAGTTTTATATTAAATTATAAATTATTTTACAATATTATTGTCCTAAATATTTATTATTATCTATTTATTTAATTTATACTTTTCATAATTGTTGTGAACTGGACCAGCTCTTGCCCCACTGTTAGGGAGGTTCAATCCAGTGCCTCTATCAAAGACCTAAAGCTGCAGTCCGACATAATAACCGTTAGGCATTTCCCCACGTGTCCGCTAAGAAGACGTTGTTCACGTGTTTAAACCGTCATCATACTGTCCTCTGGAAATAACGGGTCCGGTACCTACTTTTTCGGGGCAGTTGACCAGGGAGGGGGCCACGTGCCGAACCTCATACACACGTAAACCCTGACATTGACCCAGCGCTGAGGGCTATAAATATCCTCTCATTTGAGAGGGTCAGGTATTGATTCTTTAGCTCACATACTCTCATACTTGCTAGCACTCTCCCTGAATCTTACTTTAGCATCAGAGTGCCTTGCAAGTACCTCCCTCATTTCACATCAAACCGTTGTTGGGCACCAAGCTCGAAGGCCTTGATAGTCCCTTCTGGTCATGTATGATCAGTGGCGTCGTCTGTGGGAAACTAGCTTCCCCCCTCCATCGCAAGACTAAAGCAACTTTCCATTAAACTCTAATTGTCATGGCCGATCAAGCTGCCAACAACCACCAAAACGTCCACCTCGCCGACATCAACAACAACATTAGCGACAACATTGGTCACAACAATATCGGTAACGACATCGACATGGCCAGTCTCGAGCAGAACAACAGAGACGGGTTGACCGCCTCTTCATCCCAATCTCGACTGCACGAGGATGGTCATGCCCTCCAGAATTATGAACCAAAAACTTTCCAGAAGGTCCTCATCCTTGCTGGCGCTGATGCCACGATCAGAGCGTTATTCACGACCATTAACCAAACAAACTACTTGATCTTCTCGCAGGGCGAGCGGCTAAGAGCGCTCAAATAGACTCGTCGGTCCCCCGAGAAGACACAGGAGACCTGACACTCCTCCTCTCCATCAGAATAAAGACCGTCCTCGATCTTCCCCACAGAGATACAGGCAGGACAGGTCGCGAAGCCTCTCTTCCCAACAGACTGGGAGACGCCCCACTTTAGAGAGAACACCGCCCGAAGCTACCGGGAGACGCGGCCTCACCCCCCTGCGCAGGGAACGACGATCCCCTGAAAACAGAAACAAGGGCAACAGAGAAGCACGACCTCTACCAAGGGACCCTCCCCGATGCCAAGGCCATCATTACGACCGCCATTACAAATGGTCTCCTTCCCATTCTCCATACAGGAGCGACGAAGACGACCCCTGCAATCCCTTATCGCAAGCAATCATGGAGGCACCCATTCTCAAGGGAATGGAGAAACGTCCCCAATTAAAAGAATATAACGGTATTGCAGACCATGTCGGCCATATTAGCGGGTTCGAGGCAATGCTCCACTATCACAACGTCGGGGGACTGATCAAATGTCAGTTGTTCCCCACGACCTTGAGGAAAACTACAATGAACTGGTACAAGAATCTCGCCCCAGGGTCGATCACTTCCTGAAGAAACCTCAAGAACCAGTTCATCAGCTCCTTTACATCGTGTCGTCGACACCCATAGACTAAGGCCTCCCTTGACGCTATCGTCCAAAGAAGACCCTTAGGGAATATATTGATCGGTTCAACTGCGAGATCATTCAGGTCCCGTGCACCGATCATATGAAGAGGTACTTGCTCGAGAGAGAACTCCTCCCTGGCACTGAATTCAGAAAGGCGGTCGACATTGAGCCCCCTGTCATTCAATGCCCTCCTTGAGAAAGCCGGAGCCTACATGAACTACGAGGAGAAGGAGACAGCCAACAAAGCCCGTGACTCGAGGAACCGCGGACTGACCAACCTCCCGCGACACCAGGACATGGGCCCTTCTCGAAGGACTGGCGAGAAGAGAAGAGATGAGAAACCACAAGATCCCTGCGAGCACAGGGGACCTACAAGGTGTTTCATAGAGTACACTCTGCTGACCTCTTCCCGCGAGCTCATCTTGGCGGAATGCTCCAATACCGGCTTCAAGGATAGCGGCGTCAAATGTAACGCCCGTTAATTTAATTAATTATTTAATTAAATTACTTTTGAATTATTTGTTGAAAAGTTGTGAGACATTGAGAATTGTTGGTATAAGTTGTTAGATTATTATTAATTAATTAATTAGTTGATTAATAATAATAATAATGTTGAAATTAATGGAATAATGGTGTTGGACTTATGTTATTGGTTGGAAGTAGTAAAGTAGGGGTGTGTAAGTTGAGATTAATAGAACTAATGGTATAAGGTTAAGCTGACATAAGGATTTGATTTAGTTGGAGATTAAGAGTTTTGTACGCTGACCGTGAAATTTGCGCGGAGAGAGGAGCAAGTTGCACGGTTGTCGAGTAGAGCAAAGCAAGGCTGTCGGCTGGGAGTTGGCAAGAGACCTTCAACCAGGTAAGGGTGGGTGTTGTACCCCAAAATTTTCCCTCTCCTTTCTCAAGACATTTTTCACAAGATCTCCAAAAGCTCAAGTTTGCACAAGTATTGACTAGGTCAAACCATCTCCTAAACACTGATGCCTCAAATTAGGGTTTTGATTTTCACAAGGATAATTGGACTTATAATGCCTCAAATGACCTTCATGGATCATTATAGACCTCCAAGAATACTCATGTCAAGTTTCAAGTCTTGAATCACAAATTTGCTCAATCAATTGACCAAATGACTAAAAATCAACTGTATTGGGTAAAAAGTCAACTATAGTCAACCTATAGTCAAACTTCATGATTTTTGGCCAGAATCAACATTTTAAAGTCCTATTTATCACTTGATCAAGTATTGATCACAATCCCTCAAGAAAAACACTCAATTTACCAAAGGGGCAAAATGGTCAAAATTAAGGTTTTGACTGTAATTGACTGATCAATGACTTTTGACCTAATACATGATCAAATGGCTTGAAGTATAATCTCAAGGATTCAAATATAACATGTTGACCTAATTTCATAGTTCAAAACATTCCTCAAGATCAATGGATTCATAGTTGAAATTTGATCAACTGATGAAAAGTCAAACTAATGCACAAAAAGTCAAATTTTGACTTTTTGATCAAGATTTGATTTCAAAGATCACAATTCATAAAGACCTTCAAAAATATGAAGCTTTATCACCAATAAATCAAGAAAGTCAAAAGTCAAACTTTTTAAGACTTAGAAATTTTTCTAAGTGTTTTATACATGACAATTTCATTACTTCATACCAATTTTTCACCAAGATGCAAGATGATTCAAAGAAAACTTCCAACATGAAAGTTGTAGATATTGATGAGATTTACAATTTTTATTTACTGATAAAGTCCTATAAGTGCTTGGATTTTGAGTTATAAATTAATGAAGTCATGCACTTTTTCTAAAATACTTAGTGAAAATTTGACCTAGTTTAGGCAGATTTTTGACCTAACTTCTTGGCCAATTTTCACTAAGATCCAAGATGATTTTGTCAAAATGGTCAACATAAAGGTTGTAGAGGATGTTTCAAGCTTTTCAAAGTGTCCAACAACTTTAAGATATCATGACTGAGCTAGAAGTTTCGAAGAGATGAAGATGGCCTCATAAACTTGAATTATAGTCATTTTCTTGATGAACTTTTGATCCAATCTCATAGCCATGCTGCATAATCTTGCTTTGCAGGCTTCTAACTTGTGTTTAACTCCATAATTAATTAATTACACAACTGATAGAGCCATTGTACAAGCATTTGAGCCATTATCTAAGTTGCATTTCCATTTATGGCACAAAGTTACCATTCCATTATTGAAAAGTTGCTTTAATCACAAAGTCAACTTGTCTTGAGCTTCTAACTTGTTTGTTCAGTACACACTCAACATACAAAGTCATATAAACATGTTTAAAGCTTGTAACCACTATATATAGTCTTATACTATGCATTGGGACAAGGTGTATAGAGCTTGCTTCAAAAACAAGCCAAAGAGCCATAACATGTGAACTTGTACTTCTGATCACCTCAAGCTCTCAAAAACTTTTCCAATAAATTGAGACACTATTATACAACCTAGGACACGAAGAAACAAGCATTGAAACTCCATCAAACCATAAATTGCATAAAAAACTCCATTTTTACCACAGTTCTGCCCAAGAACTTCCATCTCATAAACCACTCGTGCGTTTCTTCTCCAAATCAGTCATAAAGCTTCCTCACATCAAA